TTAATTGTAATTTTAGCTGTCAAAAATTTTAAACTGACATTTGCAGAAAGCAAGCATAACCATTCTCATGACGTATTATTGTAAAATGTTTGTCAGATTAATCATATATTTTTAACACTTATTAACTACTTTTAAAAAATCTTTACTTTGCAATTATGTCCACAGTTTTTAGTTAATTTAGCTAAAAACTTATAAATGAGCTCATTATGAATAATTCAACTCATTTAATGCGAAAAATGTCGAATACAACCCTTAAAAATAAATTTCCCACAAGGGAAATTAACAAAATTTGAAATATTATGTGTCAAATGTTTTATATGTAAAATGTAAACAAATAATAGCTGGAAGTAAGCGTTTAATAAAATCATTGTTTTTATTAATTGTATATAAAATTGTTATATAAAATGTATATCAATGGTTTAATATATCAATTACATATTTAATATTTTTGTGTGATATATTACTAAGTGAAGTATATAAAAGTTTTATTAGCTGCATAAATGAGCTCATAGTGAGTGTGAACGTTCACTTCTTAATATAATTGGAGCAAGTGACTAAATGAGAGTTTGTGAATGTACTATAAAATCAATTTGAAGTGCAAAAATCCATCTTTAGCTGTCGAAATTTGCCATACGAATCTATTTAATTTAGGCTTGTTTTGGTATCGAAATCAAGAATAATTTGAAATGACTGCTAAAATTATAATCAAAATTGTATTAATGGTTATGTGTGAATCCAGTATAAAGCTATATTTAGAGTATTGTTCTTACCTCGACAAATATGCAGCAATAAGTGCCATTCTTCATACAAACTTACAATCTACGAGAATGATAAGTGCTAATGTAAAGGGATAATTGTATACTAATGTATATATCATTTTAAATATTATTAAATATTTGGAAATTTCTAATACTCATTTTTTGATAAAAATTTCGTAGAACAGATTTAAGTCAATTATAGCATTATTAAAAAAAATGTATAAACATTTCTTTGATAAATTTTTAAGCTTGTGGTTATTATGATCATATGGGATAATCTTCTTAGTTCACCTTTGTTAGGAACTTCTTAATCCGACAGGTGCTACATGCGATACTTGATCATCGACGATGATTGGTTTCAAGACGATACCGTTTTAAAGCTTGTGGAAGCAACTATCAGTTTTACCTAGCCTGATATGATATTGCTTCATTCTAATAAGTGTTCTCAAATTTTTTAACAACAATTCTCTTAAACAACCTAAAAACATTATGTTCAAAGTGATCTCATATATATGCAGTTTAGTGAGAAAATATATACATAGTTTTTAATAAATAAAAAGTGAAAATAAGTCCTAAAATAATGTTTTAATATTCCTTTAATAGCAAAAAGTATTTTAGTCTTTTTCAAAAATCTGATAAATTAATTTAATTTAAAAGTATGTGTCATATTACTCCATAAATTACTTTCTCGCCACAATAGTTAGAGACTTAAGATTTGATTTATTAAAACTTAAAAGATTAAAACAAAATTTATGAACGCACTTAACTTAAGTAAAAGTGGTATGAGAAATTCAGTCGTAAATCAGATGTATAGGAGTATACTCAAGATGTGATGAAAACAATTATTAGAAACCTTATATTAGATAAATTCAAATGTAGATACTTTTATGAGTAATGGTCAGTGGTGTATGTACCCAGTTTCCCATGAAATACTGTACTCGTAATATCTTTAATATATGATGAAAATAATATGTGCGGCATTTCAGTAAATTAAATAAAATATATCGTAAAAACAAATAAAAAAAGAAATATATCGTAGATTATAAGTTATCTTTATCTGTAAGTCAATGCAATATCATTCTAATAAAACAAACAGAACTATTGAAATAATCTTAGTAAAAAGTTCTCTATTCATAACATGAGATCAAGGTCTTAGAATATAATTAGAATATGAGCATCTCTTCTCTACTTCCAACTTTCTCAATAAATTTTTATATTAAACTTACTTTACAAAAATTTATTCCTTCATCCGATCTGAAATGCTCAAATAGGTAGCTCTTTCATTTGTGCAGCAGTGTCGGGCTAACTACCAGCTCATTTTTTGAGGTATAATTCTCTTCCCTATAAAACCTACAAATTTTATTAGTATAAGTTTATAGTTTTATAAAGTAATAGTTCAATCTACAGTGCCCTGTCAAAACTTCTGCAATGATTCTTTAAGTATTTTTACTTAGTTGCATATAATTCTTTAGTT